ACTGTGGGCACCAACAGCCACGCCTGGGGTTTTTCACATGGGTGTTAGGATCAGATTTAAGGCAAGCGCTTTACTGACAAGTATGGCCCCTGCCCTCCTTGGGACAGAAATTAGTGCTTGTCCTATTAATTAAGAGATTCTAAAACCTTTGCTATTGCGTGTGTAGGTCCTAGAAGTGAACACTCACCCTGGTGGAAGAGAACACTAAGCCAGTAGGAATGGTTAATTCAACCATTGTTCGGTGAGAATGCCCTCTGGCAACCAGGAGCTGAGCCGGGACAGAGTGGTATTTGGAGCAGACACCTGTGTTCCCAGGTCAGCCTGACCTCTGGACCTAAGCTAACTTGTGCAGGCAACCTGGCTGGGCTTGTGATTAACATGGGGAGGGTCCCCGCTGGGACACAATAGGAGCTTTTTCTTTTCTTGCTCTAGATGAAGGTTTTTATTTATTTATGTGTGTATTTATTTGTCTTTCTTATCTATTTTGACTTTTTTGAGACAGAGTTTCTCTGTGTAGCCCTGGATGTCCTGAAACTAGCTCTGAAGACCAGAATGGCCTTGAACTCAAAGATCTGCCTGCCTCTGCCTCCTGAGTACTGGGATTAAAAGTATGCATCACCATGCCCAGCTGAAGTTTTAATTTTTTGTTGTTGTTTTTGAGTGAAAAGTAGAATGTGGTAGAAATTTCAAAAGAGTGACTTTCTACCAGGGGAATTGTTTGTCTCTCCCCAAGGAAAGTGGGCAATGTTGAGAGAGAGAGAGAGAGAGAGAGAGAGAGAGAGAGAGAGAGAGAGAGAGAGACTGCCTGCCTGTGTGTCTCTCTGTCTGTCTGTCTCTCTGTGTGTGCATGTGTGGAAAACAGAAGTTGACCTGCAATCTGACACTCTCCCATGTATGTATGTATGTATGTATGTATGTATGTATGTATTTATGATATTTTTGTTGTTTTCATAGTCATAAGGTATATTTCCTTCCTTCCTTCCTTCCTTCCTTCCTTCCTTCCTTCCTTCCTTCCTTCCTTCCTTCATTCATTCATTCCTTCCTTCATTCCTTCCATCCATTTAATTATTTAGCTGTTCTTCTCTCATCCCAACCGTAGTTCCCCCATCCCAGTCTTCCCAGCCCCCTCCCCCACCTCTCCTCTCCCCCAGATGCACTGCTTCTGTGTCCCTTTAGAAAAGAGCAGACCTCCAGGGATGTTAACTGGATGTGGCATAACAAGTTCCACTAAGACCAGATACAGACCCTCATATCAAGGCTGGACGAGGCGACCCAGTAGGAGGAAAGGGGCCAAGGAGTCAGAGACAGCCTCCACCCCCACTTTAGGAGTCCCACAAGAACACCCAGCTACACAACTGTCACATGTATGCACAGGACCTAGCTCACCCATACAGGCTCCCTGATTGTCACGTCGGTCTCTGTGAGCCCCTACGGGCCCTGCTTAGTTGATTCTGTGGGCCATGTGCTTGTGGTGTCCTTGACCCCCCGACAGTCCTTCCTCCCGACTCTTCTCAGGCTTCCCCGAGCTCCGCCCAGTGTTGGGCTGTGGGTCTCTGCTTCTGCTCCCATCAGTTGCTGGAGAAGTCTCTCCAATGACGACTGGGCTAGACACCAGTCTATGAGTATAGCAGAATATCCTTAGGATAGCCTCATTGTTTGCCAGGTGTGTTTGGTTCTACCCTAGGTCTCTGGGCTGTCCAGCCCCTGGTCCTGGCACTCCAGGCAGTGTCAGGGCTGGGCTCCTTCTCATATTTTGGCATTTTTGACACAAAGTCTCACTATGTAGCTCTGACTGTCCTGAGACTCATTATGTAGACCAGGCTGGACTTGAACTCACGGAGATCTGCCTGGCTCTGCCTCCCAAGTGTACCTTCATGCCTGGTTCCTTCTTAGTTTTTGAGACAGGGTCTACCACTGTTAATTTGGAACACATCAATTCAGCTGTGTCTGCTCCCTCCCTCTGATGGTTACGGACCTGTGGCACCATGCCTGACTTGTACGTGGGTGCTGAGGTTCTGAACTCCTGTCCTCTGGCCTGCCGCAGAAGGCCCTTTGCCAACTGAGCCCTCCTCTCAGCTCCAGGAGTCGTTTTTGGTTGTTAAAGGCAGAGTGCAGTCTGCTGGTACCTAAGCGTCTCACAGACCCCAGCAGAGCCCGTCCTAGCAGAGAGCATCCTGCCCCCAGGCTGAGAGAAAGGAGGACTCATGGGCCACGTGGCAGCTCATAAGCCCTGCAGTGCTAATTTCGGGGGCGGGGGGTGGGGTGGCGGGGGGGCTCCGACACTCTCTCTGGTCTCCATCGTTGCCAGGCATACACACAGCACACACACTTACATGTAGGAAAATACCCACGCACATTTAAAAAAAAACAAAGAAACTCTCAGCAAGGTTGTGTGGGGAAAGGACTGTGCAGTACTGATTGTGTGACTTTGGACTTGCGCACTGAGCTGTCAGTTTGGACTGCTCTCTGCACATCTGGAATCCATCAAGGATATTAAGAATGTTAAAGGTTTTGATCGGAGGTCAGTGTGCTGTGCACTTTGAGAAGATTGTTATAAGAATGGAAAAGCATTTCCATGCAGATCATACTGGAAACCACCCCAGTCAGCCTGAAAAACTAGTTGTTCCATTCCAGTCAGGGTGCAGACAGTCACGTGGCTTTTAATCCGGGGGTCAGAGATGGGGACTTGAGGGTGGAGAGGGAGAGAGATACACTGTAGAACCCCCTTCCAACCTCACTGTCTGTGGTGTTGAGATTTTTCTCTCTAAGTCAGTGCATGTCCTCGTGTTTGTCCTGGCATTCCTCTGTGTGCGCCCTCAGGCTCCGGAGTGACTTTCCAGTGTGAAGGTCAGAGCCGTCATTGTGTACCTGTGACCCTGAGTCCTCTGTTTAGTTTTCACATATTGAATACTTCGGGGGAACGTGAAGAAGGAAATGTGAGCTGGGATTGCTCATGTGGGCAGATGATCCAGCTGGAGGTTAGAATGTCTGTGGGGTCATCAAACCCCAGGGTGGGGAGCCAGCACCCCAGAAAGCAGCTGATGGATTATGAGCAAAGGGGGTGATGTATAACTGAAAGAGCTTTCAGCTCTTCTCATCCCTCCTCTTCCTCTTTCCTCCTTTTCCTATTCCCTCTCTATTCCTCTCTCTCCCTCCTCCTCTCTTCCTCCACTTTCTCCTTTTCAGGCCTGACCGAATCAGTGAACTCGGTTTTCAGGAGCTGCTTAGATGTACAGAGGGGAAGGGGGACAATCTCGATGAAATATCCTATTGCCCCAAAGTTCAGCTGTTGACAAAAGAATGAGCAGTTGTTCACGAGAATCGTGTGTAATACGTTAGGAAGAGAAACAAAAACTTAGCACTCTTGTGGTAAGCTCATATTGTGTAGCAGCAGATTAATTTTAATCATTTAATTTGAAGTGCTCCTCCGTTCTTTGTTTGTTGTTTGTAACTGCTCGTCAGTGCTCTCCACGGGCACTTCCTTGACGGTCCTCCCTGCCCGCCTGAGAGGAGAGCACTGTCTCTTGGCCAGCCAGTTTACAGCGCGCCGCGGTCCCCTCCGTGGCAGAGCCGGGCTGACCCTGGAGGCTGTGCTTGCTAAAGACTGTCAGTCGTCTCTTCCTGCCTTTTCCACCTCTGCCGTGCAGCTGTGTGACACCGAGACGCTCGGCAGCTTGTCGTCGTCGTCGTCGTCGTCGTCGTCGTCGTTGTTGGGGAACTGGCTCGTGTTGTTTCACGCCCACCAAAGCTGTAGTGAGAGGGCCTTGCCTCGCCTCGTCTGGCCTCTGGCAGTGCCATTCCCGGCCTTTCTTGACTGTCTTTGTCCTCTCCTGTCTCTAAGAAGGACCCTCCCCGGTCACTGCCTCCAGGGTCCTCCTGGGTCATCCACAAAATCTTCATCTTGAGATCCTTAGTCACGTCTGTGAAATGCTTTTCCTCAGGCAGGGCCAAGTTCACAGGTCCTCGTATTAGGATGCAGACATACCTTGTGGAGGGCTATTGCTCAACTCTCTGTCCCATTGTCTGTCTGTCTTTTAGCTAAGTGTCCCAGTAATCTTTGTCTTCTAGGGTGCTGTGTGCTCAGTAGTTACTAATAAATGTTTACTGGATTGAAAATGTGACTTTGTTTTTAAATGGCCCAAATTCATGCCTGGACTATCCTACCTTGGTCCAGACATGTCCTGTGCTTAGCTCACAATAGTGCTTGACCATAGACACTCAGGCTCGCAAAGCAAATGCATGCTTCACATTAGTGTTGGGCCTTCTAGAAACCTTGAGAAAGAGCAGCTGTGAGCTGGGCTGTCCTTCTGGTCGGAGAGACTGCTGTTTTCCTAGGTGTTCATCTGGGCTTCAGTTAACTTGAGAAATGGTCTCAAGCGTCGGTAGCTCCCACCAACGTAGAAATGCCTCCATAGAATCGACCCCGTTTGACCTTTGTTAACTGAGATGCCTTCTTAGAGGGAAAACAGTTGATGTGGACTTTAAAGACGGGGAAGGAGTTGTAATATTAACAAGCTTGCTCTTCTCTGATTCGCTGAAGCTGACAGAACTATAAACCCAGGACAGTCGCTGGCTGCATCCTCTGGAGTCAGCACAGGACAGAGGAAGGCACACTCAGGGTTGGTCAGAGAACCCCTCACCAAGAAGCTAAGGGTCTAGGCAGCCAGGCTGTTAACTCTGTGACCTTTGACAGGCCACTTAATTTCTCAGGCCAAAAGTTTCTGCCTTTTCTAGAAGCCAAGTGGGTGGGTCCAGTGGTTTCACACTGCGTGCTAGTGTCCCATGGCACTCCCTTTCTAGACTCTGCTCTAACACAAGCCTCATGGTTTTCTTGGAGATTAGCAACTGAGTTGGCTGGGGATGCACCTCAGGGTGGAGCATGTGTGCCCCTGCATGCCCTGGGGTCCCGTCCCAGCACAGCAGAGAGACACAGAGACAGACACACTGGGTTTGCTTCCGAGTGAAGAAGGCTCTGGTTTCTCTCACCCACCTGCTTGCAGCAGAAAGCTCCAAGGAAACGCAGGCGGTGAGGGTGAAGGAGGAGCCCATGGAGGTGGACATCCAGGACCCCCCGGTCTCCATGTCACCCGGCCGGAACGTTGGCTACAGCACTTTAATGGGGCGAGAGAAAGCTGAACCCTTACAGAAGCTTCCAGAAGGCAGAGTTCCCCCGGAGAGAAATCTCTTCAGCCAGGACATCTCGGTGAAGATGGCTTCTGAGCTTCTTTTTCAACTCTCAGGTAGGGGGCTGTGGGAAATGTTGCTGACTGAAAAGCGTGGTTGTAGAGCCTTCTTGGGAGGGAGCAGTGGCCCGCGAGACGGGTGTTTTGGAGAGATCTGTGTTGTGTAGACCGCATTCATGGTTAATGAGGTGTTGCCAGATCGGATTCTTACCTCACTTAAAAAATTGTTGTTAGGATTTTGTTTAGTGGAGGTCAGGTGACAGGTTTGGGGAGTTGGTTCTCTCCTCCCACCACAGGGATTCCAGACAGAACTGCCATCATCATGCTTGGTGGCAAGCCCCTTCACCTGCTGGGCCCTCTCACCTGCCGCCCACTGCTCTACATAGTTGGGAATTAGAACTCTGTGCAGTTCTCTGATGACCCCTTTGACCAGGCTCAGGCAGGTACCTCTGGGAAAGCTTAGCGTTGTTGATCTTATTAACACGGTCTTTTCTTTCCAATGTGCGAAAGATAAACTTCCACGTCCTCCAAGAGAGCCTGCATTGCTGGGGAAAATCTTGTTGCCTGAATTAGTGAAATATTATTATATCTTGCCACAAAAAATTTTTAAAAGACAGGAAGGCTGTCTCCAGCTGTGGTCTAAGAGGGTGTTTTTGTAGACTAACCTTTCTTCCTTCAAATGCTTGGAATCCGGATGTGCAGGTATTCAGCCTTGCAAAGGGTCCAGGTACTGAGTTGTGCCTTGTGTCTGCTCTATCATTTGTCCCCAGCAGATTTAGTGTGCTGTTGCTGCTCCTTGACCATGGAGACTGGCTTTGTGTACTTACAAGATGGTATTCTGGCAGACACCACACAATCCCTCATCTGGGTCTTCATGAAGTTTATCCACCTGTCGTTTCTCAGTGAAGTTTGACAGAGCAGACACCCTCACATTCCTGTCACAGAAGACACTTGTCCTACCCCTTAGAAACAGACAGGAAAAAAGCTCAAGTCTGTGCCACCCTCGTAGGTCAGTTTCTTCATGGCCTCGTGACGCCTCCACAGCTGTGCGGCTCTCATATGACACTGAGATTCTCCACAGAGGTGGAGATCACTAACTCAGTAAGCTTTAAAGAGTCTTGACTTATGGCATCCCTTTCCCAAAGGCCGAGGCACATTTCAAAGCAAGGTTACATAGATAGTGATTGAAGAGTCTGCAGCAGCTGAGGTTTTGAGAGGTCTCACTCAGGCACAGCCATAGCCCAGATGACCCCAGACAAGTCATCCTGCCCAGGTTGCACTCTGGTTAGCAACCATGGATGCTGGCAGGTGATCCAGATTCTCCCTTGGTGTCACTGTTGAAAAAGAAAGGAGGTGTCCATGTAAACACACATGACTTAGCTTCACATCAGTCAAAGGCAGGTAGGAAGGATGTATAAACCTTGCTTATGTTTTGCAAAAAGTCCCCAAGACGAGATTTTTTTTTTTAAATCTACCTGGTCGTAAAATCTGAAACCATTGTAGGTTGGCCAGGTTTCCTGCAAATGCTTCAAGCTGTCGAGAGCTGTGATGGTCAGGGTAGAGTCCTCACATTTGTACTGGGTCAGTGAGGCTATGGTTCAACTTGGTGTTCTTGAAAGCTAATTAAATAATTTCTGACAGCTGGTGGATACAGACCCCAGGATGCACGAGGAGAGGGCTTACCTCTTGTCTAGTGACATCGTTCTGTTCCTGGTGACATTTATTAGAATAAGCAGTCCATGGCAGCACCAAGAGCTCTCTGGCCGTCTTCTGAAGGAGCCTCACAACACAGACTGTCATCAGAGCTAGGGACAGGACAGTTGCCACAACCACGGTTGGAGGGCTTAATTAAAGTCAAACAGGAAATGCCAGCTCGGGAAAGAACAAACTATTTCCGTGTACAACGTGTGCGCGTGTTTGGGTGTGTGGTATGCACTCGTACTCACTGAGGCCTAGTTACAATCAGGCAGCACCCAGACTTAACTCACTAGTTGTGTTTGATCAGTGTTTAACAGTTCTGTGGGTGCGTCCAGATGCTTTTGACTTTTCTAATAAGACAGAGAGAAACTGGGTGTTTCTGCCTAAAGCATGGAAGTGGACTGAGCTTAACCCACGGCATGTGTTTCCTTCTGTCTCCTCACAGAAAAAGTGAGCAAAGAACACAATCACACGAAGGAAAATACCATCCGGACGACCACCAGGTAGGTGACTGCTGCGCACCGTCACCCTGTACCCTGTGTGCCCCTCAGGTCTGTCTCACTCCCGCTGGACACCATTCTCCCAGCATTCTCAGCCGGTGAAAGCAAGACAGACTCCTAGGGTAAACAGAGGCAAACCTTCGCATGTATTAGACATCTCCAAGGAAGGGCCGGCCTGCTGGGGAGTTTCCATATGGCATTGTTTTTCATTCCTTGCAGTAATTTTATGAAGTAGATGTTCTTACCACCTTTGCAAGAGTCCTTTTTTTTTTTAATTTTTTCTTTTTTGGTTTTATGAGACAGAGTTTCCTCTGTGTAGTTTTGGTGCCTGTTCTGGATCTTGCTCTATAGCCCAGGCTGGCCTCGAACTCACAGAGATCTGCCTGGCCCTGCCCCTGAGTGCTGGGATTGAAGGTGTGCACCACCACCACCACCCAGCCAAGAGTTTATTTCTTACTCTTTGGTACTTGGACCTGAACCCAAGGCCTTCCTTCCATGGCGAGTGATGTGTTGTGCTGCTGACCTTCGTCTCCAGCTGTCAGAAACATCGGAACCTGGGAGTTTAAGTGGGAGGCGTGGTGTGGAGGCTGCGTCTGGGACTCGGGGTCCGAGGTTCCTATGGTGACTCTGCTTCACCCTGGGGCTGCAGCTGTGAGCTCACCGCTGTCCCACTGTCGTTAACTGGGAGCATTTTCCAGAGGGAAAGGATTTTAAAGCAGACGGAAGACAGGGCTTTTTAAAAGTCGCAAGAGGGTGAGTGAGTTGGCTCAGTGGCATTGCTGCTAAGCCCGGCGCCTGAGTTCTGTCCCTGGAGCCCACATGGAAGGAGAGATTGACTCTTCTGACCTCTGACCTCCACATGCGTGCTGTGACATGCCCACCCCATAAACAAATAGTCAAATCAATACTTTGGTTAAGTTGAAAAGCTGGACACCATGTTGTACCGTGTGGTCCCTACTGCTGGGAGCGAAGGCAGGAGAATTGCTTCAGCCTAAGAGTTTAGGCAGCTTAGACAACAGAATGAGACCCAGTCTTTAAAAGGAAAAGCAGGAAAATGGATCTGAATGACACCGTAGGGAGAACATTTCCCATTTGGTAAAGGTTGGTGAGTGGTCAGCGGTGTGGGCTGCCCACCGTCCTGCCGTCAGGAGGAATGGAGGCACATCAGTATGGGTGCTCACACAGAGCCCTGGAGGACCCCTCAGTAAAAAAGTGAGGTAGGTAAGAGGCAACAAGCAGATCTACAGAGAGGGAGCGTCCCTGTGCGGGACCACCCCCACCCTTAACTTGCCTCTGACTTACCCAAGACAGGAGCCGTATGGGGAGCCAGGGTGAGATGATTTATGGGATGGAGAACCAGGAAATTGGTCCAGTCAGGAGTTTGCTTTACCTGGGCAAGCCGAGTTGTGTTCTGACTGGTCAGCTGACTGGATTTATATTTGGAATTCCTTGTGTGTGTGTGTGTGTGTGTGTGTGTGTGTGTGTGTGTGTGTGTGTGTGTGTATCTGTGTGCTGATGTGGGTTTACATGCGTGCATGTGAGTGGAGGCCACAGAACAACCTTGTGGTAGTCCTTCAAGTGCTCATTCACTTCGTTGTTGAGACAAGGTCTCTCACTGGCTTAGATCTCAGCAAGGAGGCTAGGCTGGCTGTCCAGGGAGCCCCAGGGACCCACCTGGTTCTGTTTTGTTTTGTTTTTTTAACTTGGGTTCTGGAGGATTGAACTCAGGTCCTCAATGGAAGTATTTTACCAGCTCAGCTATTTCCCAAGCCCTGAGCTTTCATTTCTTGAAACAAATGATAAATGCATGACTTTCTTTTAGGCATGCTGTAAATTGACCTCATTGCACCATAAGGTATGGACAGAACCCTCTTGGATTCTTGGATTTTAACCTGAGATTTTCTTTTCTGCTCAGCTCAGTAGAATTCAGAATATTGGATATCAAAGAGAAGTGAACTCGAAGTCAGCTTGCTTCATGGGCTACATAGTACTAGGAAAAGAACACCTCTGTCCTAGACCAGAAGACTGACCGCCCTGGTCTCTTGAGTTGACAGGGATGGACAGCTGTCTTGTGAAGATGGCCCCTAGATTGTCTTGGGAAATGAGTCTGGGTGGGAAGCCTGTTTTCTCTGTGACCTTGGGTGCCCAGCAGGAGATTTGAGGTTATGTAAATGCTAGCTTGCTGCCTCCATGGCATCCTATGTCTGTAATTTTGTCTGCTGTGTCCCCGAGTCCTAACCTCTGACGGAATTGTCTTGATCCATAGTCACCGTAGCACAACGACCTAGTGACAGATGCTCATTGCGCTTTGCTTCCGTGGGATTCTTGAGCGTCACGGCTCGGGCCCCTAGAGTGGAGTGTGATGGGGTCTCTCTCGAGGTGCTTTAGTGAGGAGCTGCTTTCGGATGGGAGGGGTGGGGGAGGGGAGTCTGTGGAGGTTGGAGCTTTGGCCGGAGCCTCCTTTCAGCTCAGTCCCCTCGGGAGCCCTGGAGTAGGTGCACCACAGAGTCCAGGCTGCCTCCAGTGTGGACGCCAGCTCCTTGTGCCCCCAAAGCTGTTTCCTAGTGGAGCTCCCACTGGGAGGGGTTGTCACTGATTGTGCAGAAGGGAGGGGCTAGGCGGGCCCAGCAGCATTCCCAGGGAGTATATGCTAAATACTTCATTACAGAAAGGTGTGTGAGACTATGTTATTTTATGCTTTTCACGCGCTCTGGAAGAGGGAAGAAGGCTGAAATATGCCTCTAGTCTAAATTGTGTTGGCTGGAACTGAAGCATAATTATAGTTAAAGGAGCTTTTTTATTTTTAAGCATTCGGCAAAAATGAATCAGTCATAATTTCTTCTCTTTCTGGGAGATTATTATAAGGAAGAAAAATCCAACTCAGATCTTCCTGAAGCAAAGGAAAAGTTGCTTCCTGGGAACTCTGACCAGACACGGTTCAGAAGGCAGGATTAGACCCCGTGGTTTATAATTCCGCAAAATCCTGGGTGTGTTTTTATTTATTCTTGTTGACACCTCGGCCAAATCCACAAATTGGTTTCTTTTTTACCCCTTACCTTGTGGCTTGAAGTGGAGTCAAGCTGCTGCAGAGGATTGTCTCCCACCAAGGACAGGAGAAGATGGTAGCTCGCTGGATCTCCCTTCCTAGTTCCTGATTGCTTTCAAAGGACCTTATTTTGTATACACAAGGTCAGGATGGGGGCCATATTTTAGGGTATGATTTGTAACATCCTTCAAATAGACATATATCAACTCATCATTTTCATGTCTCTGTTTTTAAGTTTGTAGTGGGATATTAGTTTAGTTACTTTTTAAAGTCAGGGTCTCACCATGTAGCTTGGTTTGACCCAGAACTTTCAATCATCCTGCCTTAGTCTCCCAAGTGCTGGGATTACAGGGTATAGCACCCCACTTGGCCCATTTCTAGTGTTTATTTCCCAGAAGAAGGTAACTGTTCAGAACAGTGGCTCACCACTGGCCTCTAGAACTTACTATGTAGTTTAATTATGAAGGAAGCCCTGGAGGCTGGCCTGCCCGTACCGTACAGAGACGCTCTTTGATATTGGTGGATGTCCAAGTCCCTCCACTTGGGGTGTCTCCTGCCCCAAGTTTGGGTAGTTACAGGCCATGGTGGGCAAAAGACAATCTGAAGGAAGTTGCCGGCTGCCTCCCTGTCCTGCATCAGGCCATAGCTTCCTTACATTTGTCTATCACTGTTGGTTTCTATGTTCGTCACATCCACAGGGCCTGTGGAAAAGCAGAGCAGTTCCCAGTGAGACACACGGTGGCTCGCCATCCCCACCGGCTCTGCTGGGAGGCCAGGGCCAGCTCCGTGCCTGACACCAGGAGACTTAGAGGAAGTAAAGCCTGAGCTAGCCACTAGCATGTTTCTGGGCTCACTGGTCTGTTTTTATACCTCTGTGATGGAGAATTTCAAAGATACGCAAGGGTGGAGAGAGATGCCAGGCACTATTTAGACTGTTAGCAGTTCCTAACCTGTGTGACTTCAGCTCTTTCCTTCCTTGGCACCTCTTCCTGTAGATTACTTTGAAACAAATTCTAAGCATCAGAAAGCATGTGTATTGTGCACATGTGTGTGTACATGTGTGCATACATGTGTGTGGGCTTGATCACCTGTGCATATACAGCGTCATTTTTCTTCTATTGCTCTCCACCTTAAGCTTTTGAGACAGTGTTTCTGACTGATCTGGAGCTCATCAATTCATTACCCAGCAAGTCCCCCAGAGTCACCGGTCTTATGCCTAGCACCAGCATCAGATACTGTTCCTGGCTTTTATTTGTTTGTTTTATGAAGATGAGGTTGTATAGCTCCAGTTGTCCTGGAAGTCACCATGGAGACCAGGCTGGCCTCAAACTCACAGAGATCCACCTGCCTCTGCCTCTGGAGTGCTGGGATTAAAGCGTGCGCCACTGTGCATTTACTAACTGCGTGGCTTACTGCTCCAGGTCTTACGTGGGTCCTGGGAACACACATGCTGGTGTAGCAAGCGCCTTACCCACTGAGCCGTCTCCCAGCCGCCTACAGACTTGATTTTAAGAACTGATTGGATTGCTTTTGGTTTTGTTTTCTTTTGTTGTGGTGCTGCTGTTGGAGCCTGAGGCCTCAGACAAGCTAAACCAGCACTCTGCCAGTGCGCCACATCCCCAGCAAGGAGTGGTTTGGGAATGCCCTTTTTTATTTTAAAATCCTAAGACTTTAGGATCAGCTGTATAATGTAGAGCCATCTTCCCAAAAGTAAAGGTGAAAAATAACCCACCAAAGTGTACCAGATAGCCAGGCAGAAAAATCAATTTACTTAGCAGCTGGAGTGATTGCATCACGTGATTCTGCCTTTACCCTGTCCCTCTGCCCTTGTCTGGGTCCTTAGAAGGGCACCTGCGCTGAATACAGCCTGTAAATTCTCAAGCTGCCTTTCATTCACACATTCAACCTTAAGAGTCTAGAAAACTCAAGTGTAAAGAGGCCTGGAGGTCTCCTTGAG